CATGACCTGAGCCAAAGGCAGTGGCTTAACCAACTGAGCCACCCAGGTGTCCAAACCATAAGAGACTCTTAATCATAGGAAACAAACTGAGGGTTGCCAGAGCGGAGAGGAGTGGGGGGATGGGATAACTAGGTGACAGACATTAAGGAGGGCATGTGATGTAATGAGCACTGAGTGTTATATAAGACTAATGAATCACTGACCTCTACCTCTAAAGCCAGTTAAAACATTATATGTTAATCAATTGAATTTAAATTAAAAAAAAAGAAACATATGGATGGGGGGGTGGGGAGAAAGAAACAACTGGGAAGATATCAAAAGATACTAAATCCAACCAACTCCTTTGTAGAAGGGGACAGCCTGGAAGTAAAACTGAGTGGCTCTCTCCACCTCTCTGACCGCTAACCTAATTTTCTTTCAGCCCTGGTGGCCTGGTGATACAAACAAGGCAATTTCTGGAGGCCAGGAGCAACGGTGTATCACAAAGGAAACCTAAGGATCTATCCTTCCAGAGGTTGAAAAGATACCAGAGGCCAATGGAGCATATCAACCTCAGGTGCGGAGGCCATCAACAACTTTCCACTCTTCCCTGGGACCAAGGTCACTTTACCCATGACACTCAGAGGGGGCAGGCATGCTGGGTCTGTGTGGATGGTGCCTGAACACAAAGCCTGCCAGAAAAAGCCAGCTAGGAGGCTTAGATGCTTGTACTGAATCATGAACCTAGTAAGGGGTGTGTGTGGAATCAATCTAGAACTACTAAAAATAACCAAGGCACAGCCCCCGAAGGTGGTGGGGGGAGGTGGTCAGAAGCTTACAAATATGATTCTATGGCCTATACCTACAGCAGGGAGCAGCTGAGCAGTGCCCCACTGTGGGAGCGCCCTCATTTGCATAGCCGGTGGCAGCTGGGGTGCTTCATAAAGTACAGCAAGCTCCCGACTATGAAGGTAATGCTCTAATAGAGATGGAAAAGGGGCCAGGGGAAGTTAAAAGGCTTCACACGGTAGCTTAAAAAAAATTACCAGGCTCCAAAAGGTCCAAGAAGATTGCAGATGTTCCCAAACGATCACATCCATCTCCTTCACAGAGTAACCTCCCTTCCCTAACCCAATGCTACCCTTTCTGGCCTCATCTGAAGTTACAGACATGTGTATTCCTAAAATATACCACACAATACAAAACACCACAGGACTGACGGGAAAACAATGAAATTAGGCGAACGGTGCTAAAAACCTTTGTCAGTGTCACACACACACAAGTCAAGAATCTAAGAGAACGGAAGCACACCTCTGCGCATGTTAAATGGTCAGGAGATGCACAAATACTTTACAAGGGTTGCAGCTTGTGAGTTACTGGGAATCAGGGAGAATTTTTTTAAACAAAAGATGTGTATGGGTGTGGCTCATAATACACACAGTCACTGAGAAAGCTGGTAGATGTATGAGGTGTGTACTGTCTACAGTCATTGTGACTTGATTCAGCTCAGTTCTATTTTGTTTTCATCTAGTATTTCCCATAGTTGAAATTATGCACAGCAAACTCAAAATCCCTGTTCAAACTGCTCCTAGTCTATCAATCCCATTGGAACAAATCATGCTTCCAAACAAGTGTTTAAAGCAGAACTGACTGTACTTTACTCTGGTACCCTGACCTTCAGTCACCTGCTGCAGGCTCTTCCTAATAGCAGGGCCATAATCTGATCCACACTGTCCCCTTGCCTTCAAGGGTCCCATACCCCCTCCCACTTTGGGAAACTCCTGTTCATCCTTCAAGACCTACCTCCCTTTCTCCTGCTCCTCCTGGTCCTAATCTAACCGTTTCTTCTCCTGTACTCAACATGGTCAACCTGACTTCAAGTCCAATACTTACCGCAGTGTCCCCTTCTCTTAGCACAAACAGGCTGACTACATAAATCATGACTTTCTTCCACTGAAATTAAACTATCAAGGCGCACCTGGGTGGTTCAGTCAGTGAAGCGTCTGCTTTTGTCTCAGGTCATGATCCCAGGGTCCTAGGATGGAGCCCCATGTCGGGCTCCCTGCTCGGCGGGGAGTCTGCTTCTCCCTCTGCCGCCCCCCCATGCTCTCTCTCTAATAAAGAAAATCTTTAAAAAATTAATAAAGTCTTAAAAAAAGAAATTAAACCATCAAACTCATTAGATGCTTGACAGAGAGTATTTTTGAGGTGAAAAAAAGGATGAAAAGGGGATATGGAACCTTAACATTGCAAGTAAAAATATAGTCACCATCAGGAAACAAAGAAGATTTAAAAACAGACCATCACCATAGGAGAAAAGGAAAGAACATCTCATCTCCACAGACATAATGGCTAGAAGAGATCTCGGTGTTGTGAGTTTGAGCCCCATGTTGGGTGTAGACATTACTCCAGGAAAGCCTTAGGGTCATAATTTCATTTTACACAAGGAAGCTACTGATAATACTTATTTTGAAACATTTTCAGGCCTTTCCTACACTGCACGGTGTTGGCATGAATAATAAACTTGACAACCCTTATTTATACCTAGGGGAAAAAACCCTTCCAAAGGTAATTCTGTAGCAGCACTCTCCAATCCAACCTCAGGGCCTTTCTCACACTTGAACTCTGACCTTGGGATGCAGTACTGCCTGAGCTGTGGGCCTTCCTCCTCAGAGGGAAACCTTAAAATGCCTTGCTCTACAACCACCAAAGCCCTGCTGAGAAACAAGCTAGTTAGGAAAGCTAAGTTACAAGAGCATATATGTGAATGACACCTCAATAAATAAGAGTCAGCCCTGTCAGATCTACAGAAGCCACCTAATCCAAGGTCAGAGAAAGATGTAGGTAAATAATTTCAAAGTATGACACTGATAACTTACACACAAAGAACACACAAAGCCATGTTTATACAGCATAAAACCAATTACCTTCTGCACGCATTTGCATTCAGTAGCACCTCAAATCTTTTCCAGAAACTGGTGGGGGTATAAACTACTGGACATGAACTTTTCAACAGCCTTTTAAGTAAAAAGCCAATGGAGAACTGCCACGACTGGCAATCACTGTCCCGAGTTTGGTCCCCAGTCCCCACCGTGGTCCAAGTCACACTTCTCTCTTCCTAACTGGTCCAGAGGCCACTAGTCTCGCGCATCTTTCTAAGCCATCCTCACAGTACCGTGATTTTTCTAAAATGCAAATCTAACCATGTTACTTCCTTGCTTAGAACTTCATTTGTGGTTTTTCCCACGTGGTCTTAACGTAAATTCTGAAGTCATTAACTTGGGGCACACCAAAGACCTTTTTCCATCCGGTTCCTGCTTACCTCTCCAGTCCCGTCTCTCCCACAGTATGTATTTCAACCCCAAGGAATTTCTCTCATTCCCTCCATCCTCGCTCCTCAGTTAAACGAGGAGTTGTACCATGCCTGTTCTGCTCACGGCTCTACCCCAAGCAGAAAGCTTGGCACACAGAAGACCTCAAAAATGTACTTAGAATTTTTAAAGTATGCATTCTCAAAGGGAATGAAAAAACATCTCATTCTTTTTATGTACAAAGCATAGATACACATACGGTACATAAAAAGACCTACGGTATGTAAGAAGCAGTAACATTTCATGGAGAAGGCAATTAAGAAAACTCAAAGAGGTGGGGGGAGTTCATCTTAAAAAAAAAAAAAAGATTGATAAACACTGTATTAACGTAAGATTTTTAAACCTGAGTTAGAAGCTCAAGCTCAGGCAATACAAAAACCAGCAACACCACGTCTTTCTACTTGAATGTTCCCATTTCACCAGCAGCTCAGACAAAACTGAACCCAGTATGTCTCCTCACCCGTTAAAAAAAAACAACACACCACCAGCCACACAAAGCGATTCCCTTCAACGTCTCTGTCCTTCATCACCAGTGGTCCCCAAACTCCTTGTCACTGAACTTAAAGGCCTAGTCCTGCAGCCACAGGAAAAGCGAGGTTCCAGGCTAGCTCTGCCGTCAACCAGTTAGATGGCTTCATGACCTTGGGCACACGGCCTCAGTCTCCCCAACCACTTAGGCAGCCTCGGCTGAGTGCAGGACTGCGGAGCTCAGACCCTAGGTCTGGCTCCGAGACCCTGACGCAGAAGCAGAACGAAGGTATGACTGTGAACGTCGATGGGCACGGACAAGAATAAGACAAAAGCCAAAACCTCACAAAAACGGCTACCGCGGCAAGTCCAGGTTCTGAAACTTTCCCCTTCTCCCTGGACCGGTCAAAGGCTGGACAGCGGTGTTCGCGGAGCACTCCGTTTCGGGTCTCTGGCCTTCCCCTGAGACCCCGCTCACTCTTCAGACTCTGCAGGCGCCCGAGGGGCGGGGCCGGCCGCAGGCCTCAGCGCTCCAGCGCCCCCCGCAACGACCGGAAACTGAGGACTCACTAAGCTCAGCCCCGGGTGGGCGCTCCCCCGGCCAGCCCCCGCCGCCCCCAGTGCCGTCAGCCCAGGAGGCTCCGCCACGAGGCCCGGGCGGACTCGCAGGCCAGCGATGGCTGGGCGGCGGCGCGAGCACACAAAGGAGGCGGCGTCAGAGGAGAACAAAAACCTGGCAGGGGCCTCCCCCGAACGGCCCGCACAGGCCCGCGCCCCAGGCCGCCCTGCCCGACTCTCGGAGTGACCTTGGGCACGTCCATCCCCCTCCCCAGCCCCGGCTTCGCTGCCTTCGCTACAACCGAGCGCCGCGGCCGCAGCCCGCCGGGGCAGCCCAGGCCCTTGGCGAGG